TTGCTGGTTTACATTGTTTTTTTGTTTTGTTTTTTTTTGCTTGTCAAGTGCTAGTCCTAAACTTTCAAAAAAAAAGAGAGATTAAACTAGCACTTGATCAGCAAAAGTCAGCTTAAATGACAAGGAAGGACAAGAATACATTAAGTCAGACCAGCAACCATGGTTCAAAACCTACCTAACCAGCGTATACTTTGTTTTTTTTCAACAAGGAGGCAATTCCCAAGTTTTTTTGATCCCCAGTGACTTTCATTGTATTGACAAGAACAGTTCAAACACTCTTCATTATATATTTAGCCTTTCAGATGAAGAAAAAAGAACTATGAGGGTGATTAAATGATGACTCCAAGGCAAAAGATATACAGGGACACACAATTCTAAGACCATGATTAACTACAATCATTTAAAACAACTTTATTCCCTCCATTAAGAAACAGTAGTTCATCACGCAGATCTAAGAAGCAGGTACTGAGTATCTATAGGAGTTAAAGTTTTCTGAGCGTGTAGGTAAAACAGACATCCCATATTGAGGCCAAAGCAGAAAGGTTGACTGGAGTTCTGCCAACTCCTCCATCACAGGGGAGAAGAGAAAGCCAGAAAAACCTCAAGAAAACATTTGGAACATGTTCCCAAGGGTTTCTAAGACTGAAGTAATTAAATTACCTGCATGTGTGTGTGTGCATGTGAGACTGTTTGTGTGTGCGTCTGGATGTATGATGGACCTCCCTGCTAATTAGTGGGCCTGTGGAAAAAATGTTTTAGACTTTTTTGACCAGATGGTCACAAAGACACATGCACGCACTTATAAAACCCACACACACACACACACACACACACTCCATGACCCCTATGCGCAGGACGATTTATGGTCAAAAGGTCAAAAAGAACCGTGTGTGCATCCTGCCTGTGTGTCCTCTGTGTCACTTAGCTCTGTGTAAGAAATTCCAGCATGTCTCTGCTCTTCCACCCATTGGTGAATCAGTGTTTGTGTCAATGTGTAGGTGAAACAAAGTGTGTGAGTGTATTCAGGCTTTTCCTGCTGCCAGTGCCGCAGTCATACGATACTGATTTATCGTCAGCGTTGCCATGGCCACCCCAGATTGAAACACCAACCCCACAGAAACTGTGAGAACTTGAAACCACATCGCTCTGCCCTCAGATGATTGACAGGCTCTTTTCCAGTGAGCCATGACAAGGGACGAGGCCGGACAACAGCGGATGAGCGCAACAAAAGCGCATTCATTTTTATTTTTCTGTCAGGTACAAGATTATATTTGGTGACGGATTTGACTGAGGTGCCAGGTAGCAATCACTGCAAAGTTGAGGTGCTAGGAAAGCAGAAAAGTTCCAGCTTAAGATGCAAATGACTCAGTGACAGTGAATAGATCCAGAACTAATGGTGTCATTATGGTGGTCTAGAGGACTTAGGATTTTTGTGAGAGTACATGTGAATTTACGTTTTTTACCTATTTTTGAAAGCCAATTTTGAGCCAAGTGGTTACTTTTTCTTTCATATGTCAACATTATTTGTGGCATATTATCCTTTATAAATGTCATTACCGTAGACTTTTAACACTAGAACTAACGTTTAACACTAGTACTGCGACTGACTGTTCACACAGGTTTGTACAGAATTTTTTTTTTTTTTCTAACATCGAAAAAATTTGAAAACAGAGACGCTTTGAGTAGTTCTGCCTTAAATGGCCATAGTGGTGAAATTGATCATACAAATAATAAACATGGTGCGTCCAAAACCGCATCCTTATGCACTATTTTATGCCATTTTGTAGTATAAATAGTAGTACTTACTGTGTTCACACTGAAAACTCATATATAACTATATATAACTCATAAATAACTATAAAAATAATAAGTGCACTTCAATTACCCGCATGATACACTTATTCAACTGTTAAAAATAAGAGTGGAATGATGGACACTTCACGCACTCAACGACCGCAGCTTTGCTCACGTATCGGAAGGGGCGGAGCTTTCGGCCGCTCATGTTGGATTACTTTATTTATTTTGGATTGTGAAAGCAGTATGTTATAATCATGGCAGGTATTATTTGACACTTTTAGTCATTAATTTCACTAATTTGGCAACCGTCAAAGTCATCAGGGAAAAGTTAGAATTTTCATTTAGTAAAGAAATAAAACATTAGTATTCCATTTGGGACTACATTACATTCATATACTATGCTGTTGAGTGTGTAAGTGCATAAGTACATAGTGCATAAGTGCATAGTGTGCCATTTAGAAGCTACAGTATTTTATTCAATCGCAAACTTTTTTTTTTTTCACACATGCCCATAAGGTTTTTACTAAGATTTGAAATCAGTGTTAAGCAAAAATGTATCGTGATTAATCGCATACTAAATAAAAGATGTTAGTTAATTAAATTAATTTAAGTGTGAGTATTGTGTATATTTATTATGTATCTTTGTATTTTCTTGGTCAAAACAAACCTTTATTTTGTATGTGATTAGTCATGATTATTCTTTGGCCAGCAATAATAAAAATGCACATTAGATATTTTGAAAATATCCCGACTTGTTTTTATTTTACAAGGAGATGAACAGAATACTGACAATCAAAGAAAAGGTTTCTTAGAATTACATGTTTGTGTCCTTATGCTTAATATTGCCTATCCTAACATGACAGATACAATTTTTCTGGAATTTTCATTCCAGTGGTTGCTGTCTAAGATTGTTTTCAAAAAAAATCTAAAGTATTGTAACATCCAAAGGTAAAAATGTGTTGAAAAAAGATTAATGTAATAATTTACAAAATTCATAACATGTTTTATCTGCTAAAATATTCTGTTCAGTCCTGATTTGGTGGCTTTTAGAAAACAGAAGCAAGATTTTCTTTGTGGTGAAAGATATTTTTCAGTCTCCACTTACCGGATACAAAGTGAGGCACACTACAAAATAGTAAAAATAATAATAATAATAATAATATACAACACAATTCCTGAGAATTTTTTTAGGACAACTTAATTGTTTTATGCTCAAATTACTTGAATTTGTTAAGATTACCAATTTGTGTAGGGACAATATGAATGAATTGTGTGAAAGCCAGCATTTTTACACTGTACAGAGTACACAGGGCCAGGCAAAAAAGAAAAAAGACAAAAGTACAGATACATGACTTAAACATATATGTGTTGCCATGCAAATCATGTACCGGCCATCTGGCTAAAGTTACTTCCAATATTTCAACTTGGTTCTTAAGATGACCGTAAGAAAGTCTGTAAAGCTGGTAAATATCACACTACATGTGCAATAATAATAAGAGGGGACATGACGTAACTATCTGTAAAGCACTGTTTACAGGAATCACATTGGAATTACATCAGTCAGGCATAACTTTTCATCTACCAAGTATTTCTACCTCAAAAGGACAATTTCTTGAACTTCATAGCTCAAATGATAAAACAGACAATCACTAAATAATTGATCTAAAAATGCAATCTTCACATTTCGTGCATTTCTATAACTCTGATTTAGGGAAAAAAGGGGGTCAAAGTGAAATCATTTTCTATGATAAGCATCATTAGACCACAAATGGAACGCTCATTTAAAACAACCTAAGCTACACGGCTAGTCTGCACAATGGGTGCAAACAAAATGTATTGCCAATGGGCATGGGATGATAACCGTTTTCAAGGTATACCGTGGTTTGGAAAAGTCAAGGTTTTTTAAACTGCCAAATTTTTCTGCTATACCGATCCTATTGTATGGTTAAGATTTTTTTTTTTTACTTTTTTAGGACGACAATATGTTCAGCAGAAAAGGTATCAAAAGATGTCATTTTAAATTGCAAAGAAATCTGTGTTTTTGAAACTAATGAAGAAAGCAGAAGTCAATGATTTATTTGAATTATTTAGCCTGACATGTTTAATGCTCCAAAATATTAAAAATGTTTCTTAAAATAAAATATATTGTGTTAAAATGGGAAAAATGTTAAAAAATAATATATTTTTTGCAGTAATCACAATACCGTGAAATTGTGATATTATTAAATAAAATTATTAAATTACCAAGGTTATTATACCGTCAGAATCTTATACTGGCCTAATTGCCAATAATAATAATAATAATATAAGAATTGTTGTTTTAATTATATCCAAAAACATTGTATATTAAATTTAAAAAAGGGGAAAATGATTATAATTTCCTGTCAATATCACACAGTAAAGAGTTCATGAATCATGAACCTGTCAAATAACGCATTAATTAAAATTTGAAAATGAATTAAAAAATTTCAGTAGCAATAACTTTGTTACATTTTCTGAATAAAATGGTGTTGATAAGCAGTCGTTGAGGTGTTCCGAGTGGTTTTGAAATGTTATGTGGTTGTAGATTATTCTAACATACAGTACCATCAAATGCTAGGATCTTGAATTTATTTGTTTTTTAGCCATTTTATTACACACTATTTTACAAGAAATAAAAAAAAATCAAGTTTAATACATTTATTTGGTTTAGTTCTGTGTTGCAAAAAGTTTAACCCTAAAATGACAATATAAATTATTTTAAAAACTATTCAGTCCAAATAACACCCACATTTTAAATAAGAATTCTTACCGTGGCTTTCATTAAATGACAAGCTTTACATTACTGCACCTAAATATGCATATAAATCAGCATTTAGGGTAATGTTTCGGTTAACACATGTTTAATTACTTTCTTTGTAGCTTCACTGTAACCCTGAGAGATAAATCTAAAATATTTTTGTAGACATTTACACAACGCCACAAATTCTGTTGAGAAAGTGGAGCTTGAATTAAACCCAGAACACCACAAAACAAACCAGAAGACGTTGACACATACATAGATCTCTGGGAAGTACCAGTAAACATCTTTAAGCTGCGCAATTTGAGACATAATTTCTGTCTATAGCCTCGAGCAAAAATAAGTTTTGCGCCAAAGTTTAATACCTAAAGTTAGATGTCTGTTCAAATACATATGAGAAATAGTATTTTATTCTCGTACTTACTGTATGGCACACACTCATACTGAACCTCCAGGTATTTGTACGTTCCAGGACACGGATCGGGAAAAACATCAGGGCCAGCAACGACTGCACACTGAGTCCGGTTGTTACACCTGAGAGAGAAAGACAAAAGCATATATACAGACAGATGAAGCAAGGCTATTTGTTCAGTTCATTCAACATCAACTTGACATTAGGCATATGATCTGTATGTACTCGTTCAATATGCACGATGAAAGTTAATGAGCCCTAAAATACCATTTTCTTCAAACCAAAGCGAAAAGACACTTCTCCATGACCTCAATGAAGCTGGAGAAGTCAAAACGCAGGCTCCCATAAGAGCCCAGGAACACACGCTGCTGTTGTTTAAATCTAATTCATATGTAGGTCGTACTGTATGTACATGTAGGTCTGAAAATAGAGAGCAGGGTGAATTCTGGCACACACCAAAAAGAAAAAAGGGAGGAAAAGACAGTCTTGACAAATCCTGCTTGGCAGGAGCACATGCACACACACATGCCGATGACCACCACATGACATCTCTGTCATATTTCATGATTATTACACCCGGTATAAGCCCAAATGGACACACACACATGCAACTGACACATGTGCAAACACACACACATCTTAAAGCTCAGTTTTATCTCCCTCAACGGGTAACCATGGAAACCTTCCAGTCCAAACCCATGGGGCACTTAAAAATGCACACACACACAAACACATTTCAGCTTTTCAAGTTTCCAAGCTTAGCTTCACAAAATCATTATATGACAAGCGGCAATCTGACGCACTCAGGTGTGTGTGTGTGTGTGTTTTGCCGAGTACTTTTCAAGCTGTCAGACAGTGCAATATAAGATTGGTCCCTTGGCATTTTTGTATATTTGTGTATAAGTACAGGTATGTTAAGTGTGTGTTGCAGTTTGACCGTGTGTGTGTGTGGGCCCTAATTGCTGTGCTGAGTGAGAGTGACAGTCATACTCCCAGAGTGCTGTGGGGCATCTCTGGTTTCCGGGGCGACAGCTCTTGTGTGGCACTGTGCTACACTCAGATATGACCTAATTTAGGAGCAGAAGAGAGAAGAGGAGATTATTTTGTCTTTTGCTGTAAAGGTACAGATTTGCATGCACAGAACACCCATTAGCCTGCTCAATGTACTCATTCATGCACATTTTGCGTGTGTTTTGGTGTTTACTGTTGTTCGGGTGTATGGGAATGTTCGGATTAGACAGGAGGCCGTGAGGAGATGACAGCGTGTGTCACATGAATACATCAGCATCATCCAGATGTACAGAGACACTGGCCTTGAAAAAACATCACCTGACTGGAGATTTCCGAGGGCATCCTGTGTGTGGGAATGAACTGTTTCCTATTTCGCTCACAAACATTGTCAGATGTCAGGTTTAGCGATCCTCTCGTTTGATGGCATGGGTCCCATTGAGAAGGGTGTTGTTAATGGTCATTAGCGTCCTTGTAGCTCAAGTAATGCCAAGCGGATGGTTTCAAATGTTGACAGTGACAGAAATAAATATATATATGTGGTCAATTCAATTACCGTCTGCTTTGAGAAAGATTTCCAGTTTATCCCCACTTTGAATGCATAACTGAATAAAGATGTAAAATGTCAACATCAGTGAGATCAAATTGGCTTAAAGAACCTATGAAGTAGTTTGGCGAGGGCAGTTTGCTTTCCAGTATTCAGATATTTTGGGGGGAACATGCTGAAATGTTCATCGCTTTTAAAAACCGCCAGTAGCTTTTAGTTCCCATCACAACTTGGCGAAAACACAAACCCACTTCACTCCCAATCAAATGTTTAGAAAAGGAAATCGCTAACAAATCAATGAAAAGCATGGGCAGCACACCAAAGAATATGAATAAACTTGCACTTTGCTATTTGCACTTTTTATTTGATATCAATTTGTAAATGTACAATCATTGGTGTAAAGTATCAAATCACAAATACTTAAACTACTGTAATTGAGAAATGTTTCTCAGGAATTGTAATTTGCTAAGTATTTTTTGAAATGTGTACTTTTACTTTCTCTTGAGTACATTTTAGTACATCTCTCTTGTCTATGGTGATTAGAAAAATCAGTGATTTCTGTCCAATCAAATAGCACATAGAATGTAAGTCACATCATAATGAACAAACTCAAGACAAGGGCGCTTTATAAATGCAGAAAACCTTTAGAAAGCATTAAAATGTCCAAGAAGATGTCCAAAATCTTTACACTTAGACACTTAGATCTTTGACTTAGAGACTGTTCATAGACTGCATGTCATTTATGAGAAAATGAAGGATGATGATTGTATGATGACTTTAATCACCAAGCAGCCTTAAACAATCACTAAATGGAACGAATGAAAAATAGAAGGAAGGGCCGAATGAAGGAGGGACCAAACTAATGAAGGAAGGAAGGACCAAATGAATAAAGGAAGGATTCAAGGAAGGACTGAACAAACCAAAAAAAGGGACGAATAAATGAATGAACATAGAGCATAAGAAAGGAAGGAACAAAAATATGAATGAACGAATAAATGAATGAGCGAACGAATGAAGGAAGAAATGAAGGAAGGAACAAAAAAAAAGAAACAAAGGACACAAAGAAAGGACAGAACAAACAAACAATGAAAGGAAGTTTGGAAGGAAATATTGAATATAGCAAGATTACTATATGGACTACAGAATGTTACGTTTACACATCCCTGCACAAACTGCATGTAAACGCATCAACTTTTCACACTGTAATGCTCACTACTCTTAAGTACTCTTGAGTACTTTTTATTTATACTTATATTTACAACAGATACTTTCACTCTACTTGCACTACATTTTTGGGGAAGTTATGGTACTTTTACTTGAGTAGAATTTTTCAGTACTCTTTCCACCACTACATACAATACATTAAATATGAATACTCATAAATAAATATCAAAGTTTACAGTATGTACGGGTCAAATTGAACTACGGGTCCAAAATGATGTTACAAACATTAATATCATGATAAATACTATAATACATTTTAAAGTTAGGTATCTAATTAATTGTTTCAAACATATTTCATAAAATCAATGTCAATATATAGTTAGTTAATTCTACTATTACAATAATGTGTGGCACAGTGGCTTAGTGGTTTGGTCGCCTCACAGCAAGAAGATTGCTGGTTCGCAAGAAGATGCAACTGCGTTCATACATCAGGATAGCAGGAGACAGAAACAAAGCGAGTAAAGTCAGCCAGAAAACATGACAGATGAGGTAACTGTGGGCTCTTTTTGAGAATTAGATATTTGGCACTTAATAGTGAAGCCGGCATGGTCGGTAGTACTGTCGGCTCACAGCAAGAAGGTAAATCAATTGGCATTTCTGTGTGGAGTTTGCATGTTCTCCCCGTGTTCGCCCGGGTTTCCTCTGAGTGCTCTGGTTTCCCCAATAGTCCAAAGACATGCAGTATAGGTAAATTGAATAAACTAAATTTGCCGTAGGGTTTATGTGTGTGAATCAATGTTTCCCAGTACTGGGTTGCCAGTTCATTCCGCTGTGGCGACCCCTGATTAATAAAGTGACTATTGTTACAATAATGTTAGCATTAATGTAATATACTGAGTGCTACATCTTCATTCAATGTAACAAATTTATTTCTATAAAAAAGAAACAAAACACTTTGAGATGTGCTCTTAATAATATATAAGGTAACACTTTATTCTGATGGTGTATTTGAGTATTAGTAGACTGTCTGCTTAACGTCTGTTGATACTGCTCCTTCAACATGCATTTAACTGACTATAAGAAACTTTGCAAGTACATGACGGTTTACACTAACCCTAACCCCAAACTACTGAGATGTACTGTAGATGCAATATAACTTAAATTCAACAACAGGACTATTAAAATAAATTGTGAGCATATATAACAGGATGTTGGATAGTATTACATTTTATTTAATTGTTTTTAATTATTAAAAATGTATTGCTGACAAATGGTTAATGCCTAGCATTCTTAAGAACAGCATAAGTATAAAAAAATCTTTATTACAATTATTTAGTGTTTTGTGGATTTCTATTGACCTTATTCTTTCATGTACAAGCGGCCACAGCCATAGGAATGTTTTTGGCTCGAGACTTCCGGTCTCATTCACTTCAATTGATTTTTAAGAGTTAAAAATAACTAGTTATGCTGATTGATGTTGCAAACGGATATTTTCTTATTATATTTTTATGTATAGTCATGAACACACTTATTTGTAGAGTGGACTGTTTTCCACTGTTTATTATTTCTAGTCATTTCTCCCATAGGCAGCTGAATCAGACGTCTAAAACAATCACAAAAACGAGCGCACTTTAGCATCGCAGAATAAGGTCAATAAGCCATCAAAAGATTCTTGTTCTAAACACACCTTTTTATGCAGTACCCTGTATATATTGTTACACAGAATGACATTTTAGTGTGTGCCTTCAGTAAATCACAGCAATCCCTTCATACTGCAATACAATATTTTCATTCATTTTGTTAGTCATTACAAAATCAGTATCAAATTTACTTGACATTTGACAGCAGATGTTTTGTTGCATTATGGTAAACATATTTTTTTTATTACAGAAGTGAGGTTGAAAATGAGATTTGGTGAGATTGATGTTTTTCTCGAAATCACTATTATCACATGTGATGTAACATAATCAATGTTTAGAGAAAAATCAAAGATCCTGACCAATCACAGCCTTTTTTACCATTTTCATTTCTAGAATGAGCTGTTTAGCATGCAGCATGTGAAATCAGTTCTATTCTCTCTCTCTCTCTCTCTCTCCGCTGAATTGCATCAGACCCGCTAGTTGAAATCTCTTTGTGTAATATATTATGTCTGCCAATAGATCTTGGATAAGGGGCTCCCAAACAATCACCTTCCAATTACCTCCCCTCATTGATTAGAGCATTAGCCCACCATGACACACACACATACACACACACACACATTCTGTGAATACATTAGCCCAAACTGAGTGAGATGTAAAGGTCAGACAAAATGAGAGAGAGCGAGTGACAGAGAGAGAGGGAAAGCGGGAGATGAGGTGGAGAATGATAAATGATGTGTGATTCCAGCCACAGCTTCTATAA